AATCACGTCCTCGGGAACAGCAGCAAATGAGATTTTAAAGAGGTTGTGACTGTATAGAGGTCAAATTTTCTGCTTTATTATCTGAGACTGGGATGACTGTATCTACCAATTTTCGATAATTCGTTATTAAAAATATCTTCCGCCATTACTTTCGCTGGGGGCTGTAATTATTAAAATTTTCTATAATTACCTTTTTTTCACGAATTAACTATTTCAATGTGTCTGACAATTTCACTAATTTTCATCCAGGTTTTGCCGATCCCGGAAATTCTACTGTAATCGATTTAAGGAAGATTATGTTAAAGTTAAGGTTAAGGTTGAAAATATGATATTTTTAATTATTATCAGTAATTAGTACTAAATTATTTGAAATAAACGAAATTTCATTCTTTTCCTGAATTTATATTCATGTTAATATCACAAATTACGAAAATAAAAAATTAATCCCATAATTCCAGCCAATGACCAAAAACACTCAAAAAATAGTGGCATCAACTTTAAACTATTTCCTAATAGAATCATGTAACTTGGAAAAATTGCCTGGTCGATTTTCTATACAATAAAAATCAAGAATTACCGACTACACATTCCAAGATTAGATTTTTATTGTGCCACATCCACGCCAGATGATCATTATGGTTATTCTTGGTACTAAATGCGGCGCACATTCTGTAAAAATCAATTGAGATGAAATGTTGCACAAATTGGGGCGTGTTAAACTGTGATCGTGATAATTACGATGATGCAGATCGTTATAGCGGATTGAGGTCTATAAATAAATCGCCGTCAATATACTGGGAAATAATATAATTATATTATTTCCAGTTAGTCTAGGTTATTCCCGGTCATCTACGACGACGAGATCACATAAGTGTCGTCATTCGAGTGACATGAATTTGTTGTCACACTAGGATATCCATGATCTATAAAAAATATGACGACAAATTTGTATTCGCGTCGTTACGCTCGAATACACATGACCTATAAAAAATATGAGGAAGAATTTATGTTCACGTCGTCAGACTATATTACTTGATTGGACTATGTCTGTATACTCGTTTGCTAATTTTGTATATCAGATTATTGTTTTCAATCGATTTCCTTTAGGGGGTGATGATGAGTTAGGTCAAAACTCAAAGTTGTTAGTTGACTGCTTATGTAAATTTTGTATATTGGATTATCGTTTTAATCGATCTCCTTTAGAAGACAATACTGAGCTAGGTTATGCATGGGTGTTGGTCCGATTGCGATTTATACGTCATTTGTGGAGGCAGATAGTAAAAGTATATGATATTGGGTATATTGCAAACACGTTATCAGGCATATTACATACACGTTATCAAGTATATTGCAAACACGTTATCGGGTATATTTGCACATCATCAGGTATATTGCAAACACGTTATCGGGCATATTACATACATGCTATCTGACACGCTATATACATGTTATCGGGTATGTATGCAACCTATGTCACGTAATTGCTATCGATTTATACTATCGAGTATGTTGTCAAATCGATTTCGCTCATGTTTAATGCCATAAAAAAGTGAAACGTTCTGCTATATTACCAAAGTTATCTACCCTGACTAAGTATCTAAAAACATATCACCAAAGGGGTAGGTTTATTCCATATTTATTATATAATATTACTGAAGTTACCTACCCTGATCACATACCCGAGAACATACCCAGCAAAATGAAGGCTTCTTCCATAATTATTATATAATATATCTGAAGTTACCTTCACCGTTACTATACCCGACCACATATTTTATATATAATAAATCCGCAGATTACTACAGATATACTATACCCCGATTACATACTTTTACTACATATCTTCGATGTAGTGTTCTGCCATTATATATATATAATAAATCTGCAGATTACTACACTTGGGCCCGAAATTATCCATCTATCGAGTTCACGATCCTTTATGTCTATTCGACTAAAATCGATGCATTTTTTTTATACCACTAGGTACCAACTGAAAAAATAATTTAAACATTTCAAAGAATATTGTCATAAATATAAACGAACTGAAACCGATACATACCTAAATAAAAATGACAGCACCAACGCACAACTCGAGCGCTACGGGGGCGGGGAAAGCTTAGAAGGGGTCCCATCTCGTAGTGACGTTATTTCAAAATGTGATAACGGACTAACGGCCATATTTCAACAAAGTCTATCCAAAAAACAACCTATATACTTTATGCCTAACGATGTAGGTGATACCACTGAATATATAAATGGAATATCAACATACATTTTACATATTTATGGTACTTTAATTAATGGACAAAAAGCTAGAGTAGATATCGCGGATATTAAACCGTTCTTCGATGTTGTTGTTCCGGGTGAGGAACCGCTAGTTACATTTAAAAGTAATTTAGTTAAAATCATATATATCTAAAGCTCTCAAAGGTACATCAAAATTTGGAATCAAGATTGTTAATGCCTTTCCAGTTCATGGTTACCATACAGAGGAGAAACAATATATACGTGTGATAACATGGAATCAATATGACCGATTTAATGCATTGAAAGCGGTCCGTGATGTTAATTTGGAAACAGCTTCCGATGATCTAAATAAACAATATTATTACCGAAAAATCGCTCGTGAGAAAAGATTACCTCTTTCTAGTTGTGCAATACTGCATGATTATACGTATGATAAAAAAATATTTCAAGTATCTGTGAATAATTATAATGCAATAAATGAGGATGAGTATAAAAATCCATTAATTACTTCAGCTTTATCTCGAGATAAACTCTTGTTCTCACATGGGATATAGAAACATATAGTAGCCGTAAAATGGGGGATTTACCGATAGCTAAAAATGAAAAAGACCGAGTTTTTATAATTTGTATGACTATACATTGGAAAGATGACCCCAATCCATTAATGCAAATATGTTTGGTTAACGATTCGAAGTATGATTGGCCTTTTGTTATAGAAAGCCGAGAGTTTGGGGGTTCTTGAATGGATGTTTAATCATATGTCATCCAGATCATCTGATTTTGAGAAAATCTTAAAATCGAGTTATCGAAAAAGTGCGATAAAAATGCCAAATGATGGGAAGTTCTACTCAAGGTATCGCAAAATTCTGGGGTGTGTACCTATAGATGTAAGGCCCTGTTTTAAGAAATTATATCCTAAAGGTGAGAAAAATAGTCTTGCATTTTATTTGGAAGAGTGTAACCTTGACAATATGCTTATCCATATTATGAATAATTATTATAGCAAAGCTATTATGGATAAAAATATATTGAATAGCAGAGCTAGTGCTGAAACGCATAATTCCGATTTTACATCTATCGAGCATATGCATGAAATGGCTAATTATTGTATTATTGATGCACTTAGCTGTTAACGGTTAATGGTCAAACGAAATATAATTAATGAATATAGATTTCTATAGCATTTTTATCTTTATTCGATGCACACTATGCTGGAGGCGTTACATCGGCTGGCCAACGTAACATTAAGTTTGTTGCAAATTTTGTTCAAAATAAAGGGTTTTAAAATAAAATATGGGGATACGGATTCTTTATATCTTGTCTGTCCAGAAGAATGTTTTCAGGAATACAATACGCTGTATACTAATGGAATGGTTCCAAAAGAAGAATACTGGAAAAGGATGGTAGAAATTTCTATGAAAGTAATGGGAGAGCTTCGCGATGAAGTAAATGCTGAACTCGTAAAGGATAATGGGACACCATATCTTAAAATGGCATATGAGGAGGTCCTATTTCCCGTAGTATTTACAGGTAAGAAGAAATATTTCGGCATTCAACATATAAAAGAACCTAACTTCGACCCAGATCCAAATAAGCTTTTTATTAGAGGTATAGATATTGTGAAACGAGGGCAGTTTAAACTCTCCCGCAAAATAGGTAAGGAGATCATGCGAGAATCTATGGGGATTAATAATAAAACATTATATCAGATTGTTGAAGATGCCCTTAAAAATACAGTGAAAAACTCATCTCTGATAGAAATAAATGAATGTATTCGAACCTATGCATGGAAACCTGATAAAGATAATAAGACTGTTAAACGTTTCATCTCTCGAATGAAATCTAACCATGTTCGTGATCCAAACGACTTATAAAAAAAGGATTGGCCCCCAACCCATATCTTTATACCATTCCAGAGCCTGGGGAGCGATTCGAGTGTATAGTAATAGAAGGGGGTGATCGATATGATGAGTATGGAAAGAAAATATCATGGAAAGTAGGCGATTATATGGGATATCCGGATGTGGTAAAAAAACTTAATAAAAAGATAGATATCAATTATTACTTAAAGAGCCTGATTGGCCTCTGTGCTAGGTTTATAAATAGTAGTAAATGCTTTGAACCGGAACCAGATTCTGAGGGATTTCAAATTCGGATGAGCTCTGGACGGCAAAAGATAACTTGGCACATAAATCAGCTGAGAAGTGGCTTAAAAACCATATTAAAAACTTAGGCGATGCTCCAAGAAAGGATGAAGCCATTATCTCCCATTTATGGAAAGATGCTACTACTCACGCTGAAAAAATATGTTCTAGTATTAGCGAATTTGGCATGACTAATAATGATTACCTTAATGCATTAGACAAAATTGCAGACTTTACTCATTCGAAATTATCGGATCTACTTTCAGAATTGTCTAAGCTTATAGAAATGGGGTGTACGAATTAATTGTGCAGGCACAGAAATAGCCTGATATTACAATTTTGGAACAATATATATTTCTATATAATTTGGAATCAGAATGTGAAACATTAATAGATTTTAGGAATACATGGTATAAAGTTATTGGTCTTGAGATTGCACGTCTTCAAGCATTATCGATAATGCAGAGCAGTAAAAAAGATGACTCACCCGAAGCAGATATTGATCTATACTGTTAAGTATTCTTGGTTGGAATTGCGACACCCACTAAAGATACTTATATAATAATATTTTTTTCGTATATAAATAACTTCCAACTTCAAATAGATTCATCAATAACTATAGTCATAGACCCTTGATGCCTGTAGCGTATCACGACATCTTCCACAGACCATCCAAGGATATTCAAGAATTAAAGATGCCGATTGATTATAGTTCTTTTTCCCATGAGCAGTAATCCGATAATTCAGATATTTTTCATCAAATCTCCTATACTCACATTCTCGTTTTTCGCCACATAGGCTTTATGAATGCCATTAACCATAACTTTTATCGCATTCTTATCATGCGTATTAGAAGGTTCCAGTTCAAGAGTGATGATATCTGATTTCTTAAATTTATGGACACCACGAAATCTCATCCCCACCACCATAAATGAGCGTGTAACAATGCAATCTGTATATAATGGTGTTGATACTTCCTTACAACTGCAACAAATATTAGACATAGTTAAAAAATACCGTATAGCACTGCTTACAGTGTCCCCAAAATATAGTACCCTCCATTATTAAGACCCGGGTACTATTCAGGTTTAATTTTTGCCAATTCTTGATTAGTACCCCTCTATTATACAATATCTATAATATAATACTATCCAAATAAAGTACCCGGTTCCGCATAGAGTACTATTCAATTTTAAAGAAAGGCATTCTTGATTAAGACCCGGGGTACTGTAAGCAGTGCTATACGGTATTATATTTTTCTACGTATAAAAATAATCATATTCAAATAGATAGTTCCACTTACCCAACCCAAGCACTTCGCGATTGATCACTCTTTCTCTCCAATCCCCACGTAAAGGCTGGTTAATTATCAAAAGTGATGGCATTATTATCGTATGAGACCTCTTCTTCATTATCATATACATGTATATCATAATAATCAGAATCTCTCATTTCATTTTCGATATCTCCTTGAAAGTATATATACTCATCTATAAGATCCCCTAACATTTCTCGTGAAAAGAAAAATATCATGTTTCTATTTTGAGCAAAGTATTTATTATATATCATTGATAATGAAACAAAATCTTTATAAACACAGGAAATAACATCATTAAAACAAGATTTTAAAATCTTTCCTTTATACCATGCTGATAGCGTATTATTAAAAATGAGAAACCCAATTATTAAGTCAAAATGCACATAAATTACAGATAGCTCGAAACCCTTCAGAGCACCAGATATGATTGACTGTAATAATCTTAAATAGATCCTCCTCTTTAGAAAGATGACTAAATATATTTTCCAAAATTTCAGGTACTAATAAAGCATGTGTTGCAGGAGAATTAGCGTTAATATTCATAGTTATTTCTTCTGATTATCTATTAATATAACAACTAAATAAAAAGTCCTAGTTAATAAAATCTCAATAAGATAGTTTCGTTACCCGATCCACGCACCTCTCAACTGATCACTTTCCTCCTTAATCCCCATTCACGTCTCAATACCACGAACCACATAACCACAATAATTAACAAGGTAAGAAAGATATATGCCGATAGTGGTGACGCCAAACTACTTGCCACAATAGGAATTGCTCCCATTTCTTCCATCAGAATCTGAGGAGGCGATTCAGGCCCTATGGGAGATTCTTTGAATATCAGAGAGGGGGTATCATTTCTCTGCTGTGCAAGATATGGTGTCACACTCTTGGGTATATTCGATGATACATCAGTCTTTAAAGACTCGGGTACTACTTCATCATGAGCTGATGTGAGAGTATCGATCTTCAGAGATTCAGGCGTAGGAATACTTTTATCATTATGAGCTGGTACAATATCATTGATTTTTTCGGCCTCATTCATATTTTTTCTTCGTATAAAATATTGGGTAAGACTATTATTATATTTGGTGGAACTTTGTTCCTCACTTTTCGTCATCTCCATCAACAATAGATTTTGATATATCCTCGGATTTCAGACGCTCAAGCTCACTAACCATTGAAGCTAACTCCCGTTCCACTTTAGCCATTTCACACTTGAGGGATAATAACTCGGATTCTTTCTTTGATAAATCTTTCTGGGTTGAAAATGCATCCTTCTGAGCCGATGCCAACTTATCTTTCAATATCTTGATCATTAACTGGTGCGATTTTATTTCTTTCAATTGGGTATCATACTTGGCTTTGCACTCAGCATGGGAAATCTGTGATTGGGTAAGTTGGGATGTAAGGTTAGTATTCTCACTTTGAAGTTGTTTACCCTCATCAATAATTTGTAAAGTGTGAGTACGTAATTTTTGAAACTCGGTACTATAACATAATGAATCCCGATTCCACTTCTTTTTTTCTCGGTCAAAATCTTTTACCTGTTTTGAGTATTTATTCTGTAGTCTTTCACTAAGATCATTGATTTCGGCTTTTGGATTTGATAGCATTATATAATTTTTCTTCGAGCTCTTGCTCACACATACTACCAAGTCGACGACCTTTATTAGACATGCCAGCTCCGCTAATATCTCGTAATGTATATACATTAGCCATATAATTTTGACTCAATTATGTACAGAAAAATAAATTCGAATATTTCTGATATTCATTTTCGTCACATATAATACTAACTTTGTTAATAATTTCTAATGTTAGATATCGTAGACTATTAAAAAAATAATATTAGATATTATTGAATTAGGTTATATAGTAATTATTTTATCTATATTTCAATTTCTAGCATCTTGTATTAGCTTTGTTAAGATTTCTCTTTCATCTATAATGATAAATATCATTTTTTATCATTCTAAAATATTAAATATCATTTTTTATCATTTTAAATATTCGATGATATATGGAAAAATCATGAACGCCAGCAACAAATAATACAAAATACTAATATCAGCAATCTTACCTGAACATTCTAATCAGATCGAAAGCGAGGTTTTATTAAAGAGCAATGGTTTCTCGAACCTATATTTGGAACCCACTATTCTCCCTAACAAAGAAATAAAACAGAGAAGTTCCAAATCTAGTTCCAAATCTAAAACTAAATCTGTTTACATATCCGATCCAATACCTATTAATACTCAACATTAGTTAATATTGACTCACGGAATGAGAATAATATCGCATCTAACTCTACAGAAAAAATTAGCGGACATGATCTGGATGCGTTATACGAAAAAGAAGTCAGAAGAGATCAGAAAAACATAGCAAATATGACTCGAGAGGAGCAATAATACCATTCAATAAATTTTCATTGTATGATAATACATACTTGAATTTTTCTACTGATTTCTCTTGCACATTTGATTTTTCTGATAGCATTCTGCATCCATAATCTATATTGGTGTTAATGCATGCTTATCATCGAAATTATATTCAGATTTTTGCTTGATTTTTAAGTATTCATTGTGATTTACACCATAGTATTTGTTACCGGTACATGAAAATTTCCAATGTCTCTCCATTCCTATATGATTATAATTACCTATATTTTTGGTCCGTTCTCTGGTATATATTTACGTGTTTTGGAATTATAATTAATTAGTATCCTACTCAAACCCAATTGCTAATAGCAAATGCCTTTCAAGAGTTAGAATCGATGCAAGCTTTTTTCGTAAGGAGTGAAAATCATTTCATAAATAAGGAATATGCGAAAAAGTAATAAATAAAACAGGCCAATCTCATTGTTCACGAATCCAAATCCAACCTTTCAAAAATGCTTTCGAAGTTTTGGTTTTTGTAGCCTTTTTGGATCTTACTTAAACGTAGAATGTAATTCAAAGAAAATACAAAAAATAAAATTCAATATAAAAATTTAATTCTCAAAGAAATAAAAATGGTATAACGATAATGATGATAACAACATAGCATTAATACTAACCATCAACAAAAACAATTTCCTTTTAACAAATTCTCTATCTTCTTATTCTAATCCCGAGAATATTTCTGTTTGTATAATTGAGTGGGAGTGTCGAAGAGAAATACGAGTAGGTTTGCAAAGATCACAAGGAAACGGACAAGAACAAATATCCAATTATCTTTTTGATCAAAGATTATATCAAATATAAGTTTATATTTAACGAATACGTAATGAAAAATGTTACGTGTTATTCAAATCCTGAGATAAATATAGCATTGTTAAATAGTGATAGTTGGGCCGATTCAGTAATTCTTGATTTTAATTTATCTAATAAACAAGAATAATGTCAAACGCAAACAACAACAAAGACCATTATGAAAAACTTATGTTTGAAAAGACACGACAAGAACAACTTGATCTAGTTTTTTCGGATGACACCGACGACGAAGACGACGAGTATTGCGCCGCAGTTCGTAATGAAAATACGGAGGTCATTCTTCGTGAAATGAGTGAAAATCTAAAAAAATTATGTAATAACCAATAAATCTTCAAAGTTCTGTACATTTTGACTTGAATTTAATATATATTTTATTTGCTATATTAGTTGATATTCATGAATGTTATATAATCAAAACTCAAGATTTAGAGAAATTATACCAAAATGCATTCCAAAAGTTTTTTAACTGGAACATGTACGCAGAATCATGCATCACACCTCTTGACGAATTTATCGACAAAACGTGGAATCAGACATTCAACATTCTAAAATACCCATATACATATGCTGAAGACCTCACCACCTGGCTAACCCTAAAATTCCCTCTCGCCCCGTTAAAGGGTTCACACCCGGAAAAAACAACCTCCGAAGATTCCAACGAGTATCTGGAGTTCATTCTTTGGCGTTTTCGTAATCTCCTTCCAGATCAAACGGTCGTAAGGGTCGATTGTTTACGTTGGCTTTATTCCGAGGTTTACGCCGATAATCCGCAGGTTGAAACCAAGAAACATGGATATGAATTTCTCATTGATTTGTTGAAGGATTCTATGTGTTTTACTTTGTACGAAAAAGATAATTATAGTGTCGTGGTAGAACGAGTGGATGGGCATGTGTATGGCGCATTGTTGAAGCTAAATTTTTTTAGAGCTCAATTGACAGAAGAGATGAAAACGGTTATTATGCTTTTGCTAGGCGATGCGTTTGGGGATTTAGTTATTGAATAAGTAGACTTGCTATTTAGCTTTGAATATTTTGTTAATTTTGGTTTCCCTTGCATTTGTATATTGCTTAGAAATTGTATACTGTAATAACTCAATTCTCGATTTTTGTCAAGCTAAATAGTAAAGGTGATTTTCTCCATGTAAAGCTCATAATAATCCAAACAAACTTTTTATTATGATAAACGCTTTGCTTATTTTCAATATTCAATTTTTTTCAAGCGAAAGTACATGCAGAAAAGGTTAGTGTGGCCAAAGAGTGTGGCGGTAGATCGTGAGATCATTTCGAAGTCATTTCAAGCAAAAATGCATGTACAAAAGGTCAGTGTGTGGCCAATTTTTCAAATGACTGTGGTGGCGGTAGGTCATCTGGGATCATGAGATCATTTCGAAGTCATTTAGAGCGAAAGTACATACACAAAGGGTTAGTGTGGACAAGATTGTGGCGGTAAATCGTGAGGTCATTTCGAAGTCATCTTCAAGCGAAAATACATCCACAAAAGGTTAGATTGTGGCGGTAGATCGTGAGATCATTTCGAAGTCATTTTCAAGGCAGTATGGCACAATTTTTCAAACGATGTGGTGGCGGTAGATCATGAGATCATTGCAAACTAATCCGATGATTCAATTCATCTAGATCCAAATTTGACTAGATTCGGATTTTGAAACATAAAGTATATAAAATGATAAATAAAACGCCGCCGCCAATAATATCATTAAAACACCGTCAATATTTTTTTTAGAGCAAAAACTTTATTTGTTGTTAGCTATTGTAAATATACGTAATAATGACAAATTATTTAACAATTTGACCTTTTGGATTAATCTTGTTTTCGACGCCTAGTAATTCAGTAAATGTCACAGTCTGCGGATTCAAAAAAGGTTGGCCTATTTATTAAGTAAAAATAATCAATTAATTAATTATTCAATGAAATTATTCAGATTTTGATAATACATACGAGGATCCAATGAATTCCACTTAAGATTATTATCATCTTCAACGATTGGCGGACTCGTGTGCTTGAAATTATGCGGAATAGTGAGTCCATTCGCTCGTGAAGCGATATTTTCACGCACCCATGTCTTTTGAACTTCAATTTGTCTTAATTTATAATGAAAAATCAAAATTAATTTATTTATTTATCTAATTCAGTATATAAAATTTACCGTTGTAACTCTGGGTCAGACGGTATTTTTGTCTGATGTTGAGCAATACTAAGATACGGATGCATCGCTTTCGTGATTGCTAACCATTCTTCATCATACGTGAACTCCAATGGTCCATTTGCTTCTGGAAAATCTAAAACCTTTTTTTTTAAATATAAGTAAAAATAATAAATCGATGTCCAAGCTCCACAAATTAAAACCAACTTCATTTAAACCTAATCCAAATTTTATAATTAAATGACTTGATGATCAATAAAAAAAACTAAGAAAAAAACCAAACCTGCAAAAAATCTCTGAATGGCATGCACTTATCAAGCGCTAAAAACCGCGTAATCCTATCTTTACTATTTTTCGAATCAATACCAAAAAACTTATTGTTAACATCCTTGCTATTATCACTGCTGTTGTTATCATTATTATCATTACTGTTGTTAAAAACATCGCCAGCAGATGACGATGGCGATGAAATGCTGAAGTCAACTGGAGGCGTAGATGCATCCATTGTATTACTATTTGTCATAATTTCGTCGTCGTCTTCCACCGTCAGCATCACAGCATTGTCAAAACGTGGAGGAGTCGTCGACAAACTTATAACATCTTCTTGATCAACGGTAATATAATTATTATTATCATCACTATTATTATTTTCATTATCATTATAATGATTATTATCAGCAGCAGTAGCGGTACTCGATTCTTCTGTTGTTATCGCAGTAGATTTTCCATCGTCTTCTGCTTTGTCCATTAAATCGTTATTATCTTCGGATTCATTTATATCAATTTGAATTTCATCCGGATCAACGACAGGAATTTGTGCTTTTGTTACTTCTATTGCAGTGTTAGTGGTAGAGGTTGCTACTGTTGTGGATATCGATGTTGATGATGTAGATGATGCCGATGATGTCTTTGTCACCGTTGAGGTTTTTGAAGTTATAGGAATCCGTGGTGAATCGTGATTTAATACAGCAGAGAATTTTACGTGTAAATGGGCAGCAAACCAATATCGCGGCTTTAATTTGTATAAGAGCTGTTCACACGCTGGGTTTCCAAGATTATTGGCCTTGATCTAAAATAAACATAATCGACAAATGAATAATAAGTATTAAAAAGACCATAAAGAGATCAACAAATAAAATAAATAAATAAAAATACTTGCTTCGCCCTGAAAAAAAGGTTTATTTGCAATCAAGCGCCGCGTATCTCCGTATCGCTCGATACCTCGAGGCCATTCATGTGACATAAAAATGTCTAACGGTTTTCTTAGCTAATATTAATAATAATCAGTATTGAAATTATGATAATCTATTTTTTATGAATCTACCTAATATTTAACTCACTTGTTCAAGTTTAGTGACCTCATAATTCCTAATGTGATATATACTCCTCAGACCTGAATCCGAATATGGAAGAGTCTCAAAATGACCTGTCATTATTTTTTAAAAGAATTATTTTTTTAATCATAATATTATTCATTTAATCTATAAAGGATATAATTTAATTAGAAGAAAAAATAAATCAACAATATAAAATTTATATCATGATTATAATTAATCATTACCCAAATCATAATGTTTCATCTTATAAATCCCAGAGATTCCTCCTATTCGAAGACCACCAAAATTGACAACTCCTGCATATCCAAGGAAATATATATTTTCACACACCCATCCTCCATGATATCTACACAACGTAAAAGTCAGCATTATTAGATAACTCAAATTGGGACTTTGAATATTAAATAAAAAAAAACCTACAATTCCCACAAATAATTGCTCGCTTCATGATTTCCTCCGATCACGAGTGTCGGAATCGGAGCTTTACATTCCCCAGAATAATATTTATAAAAGGTGCCCAGGTATCGATGCTTTATTGGAACTGCTACAGAATCTAGATCTGCCCAATTGCGAACAGTCTAAACATTCAAGTTACAAATAATCTTCAGAATTCAAAGTTTTTCTATAGTCAAAAGTAAATTTCAATAAGTTTACGCACCTGAACATCGCCACATATCAACAATAGATCTATTTTGATTTTTTCTACCTGTTGAATATGCTCTAAGGTTCTATAGATCGTCTCTAGTTGACTATGACAACAGCCTTCGATCGCTATCTAATTAATTATATAGCATTAACAAAAAATCATCGATGTGAATTTAGATATTGTATATTAACTTACTTTCATTTCGACTTTAGCTAGTAAAGATAGATAGGGACGATGATTTTTTGTGACGATAAAATTCAAAATTTATGTGTGATGTATGCAATTTCTGTCCAATATTGTGATAAATTTTGTGTCCTTTTATGGAAACTTGTGCTATTATGTGCAATTTCTGCGCAATATTGTGATAAATTTTTGGGGAATTTTGTGCCTTTTATGGAAACTTGTGATATTATATTTAGTTGCTTGTTATGGTAAAATTTAGAACAATATAATAAAAATCTCAACAAAATAAAGTTGGTCTCTCGATAAAAGCTACGCAGCTAAATATAGGTAACCAAATATAATCAGATACAATTTGTTGAAAGAATCGGTAAATGATTTGCTAAATCATTCTAATTCATTTTAATTCATTTTCATTCATACTCTCATCAAGTTCTAATACACAATAAATCCCACTCACGTAAATGCTTCGATTAAGTTTTTTATTACTGCTTTTTTTGATGTTGCTGCGTGTATATTAAATTAACTTCTCACTATGTTTATGTGTTTATCACAAAATTTTGAGATGGTGTCACGTATAAAATCCACGCTCACGTGCAAATCTGTGTGATCATGTGAATCGTCAGTCTGGTATAAACAAAAACTAACTCTAATTTTGGCGCATTTGGGCGGGATTTATTGATTTTAACTCCAGCCAAAAATTAGCCAAATTGGGAGTCAAATCAGCCTGCTGTTAGTTCTGATCGTCAGGGTTCGGCCCAAAAACAAGAAATAGGTATTGATTCCTAAACAATAGATTCATAGATACAATAGATTAAATGGATTCGATCCTCATACAGATTGCTTTGGAAAATTATTGATTCTAATCATTCAGACTTTTTTAACACACCTGTTGCTGCTATAGATATAGAGTTGTACAGAAAGCGCTTTTTATCTTGTGGTAAGGCACATAAATTGCGTATTATCGAAAAGAGACCAGCTTTATTTTTTTTCGGCCAATATTTTTGACGGGTCTGTACTTTTGCATTCCAGTATACTACTTAAAAATGGAAAGAAGACCAGAATTATCAAAATCACACCCCCCACAAAAGCAAAAAACAAGAGATCTACAGTTTACAAAGCACAAAGCTTACTCTTCATCAAAGAAAGATACAAAACCAGTTACAACGGAACTAGTAAAATCGTCGTCGTCCTCTTCCTCAAAAAAGAAAAAAGGCCGCACCAAGGGTGGAGAATATGTAATCCCAGTTCAGACCTCCGTTGCGGTGAAAATTCCCTGTGAAATCTTCATAAAAATTTGCGAATTCCTGCCCCCGGCAGCCTTGTTGTCTCTTAGTCGTGTCTGCAGGCTGTATCGAGGATTTTTGTACTCTACCACGTCGTCATTGTCGCAACAAATGTGGACCACTTCTCGGATTAATTTTATGCGAACGTTGCCATTACCACCGCCTGAAGGGATGGATGAAATTGCATATATAAAATTGGCTTTGGTAGAGAGAGGATGTCAGTTTTGTCAGAGGAAATCGAAACCAAAAGTATATTGGGCTTTCCGTGTTCGCTGTTGTCGAAAATGTTTGAACTTGAAAACCCAAAAGTAAGCTATCGATTGATTATTTATTTGCATTTCGATCAAATGATTAATTCTTTCTTTTATGTTGTTATTAATTCATTAAGTGAGGAGATTGTTCGAAATTCATCTCAACATATACCCGATGGTCTCGCAACAAGGCTTCCTTACGTAACATTAGAAGAAACTCGATATTTTTGGAAAGATGACGTGCAGGCTGCCAACTTGGAATATAGTCAAAAATCATCAGCTTGTGATCGACATTTGTTTCTCCACCAACTCACCGAAAAACGAGATGAGAGAATGGAAGATGCAGCTGCGCGTGAAATTGCTGCTAAACAAGGGAGATCTGAAGAGATTGCAGAAAATAAGATGAAATTACTTGGTCTAATTGAGCGCATGTCTCAAGAACTATCTGACGATGGAAATCCGATCTATCAACTAGAAGTCCTCAAAAAATGTCCGTCGTACCTCAAAGCTTCTTGCTCTTTAGATAAGTCTTTGGATCTCTCATCATTAAGACATGACCTTGATAAGGAATATCATGGGATTATTACCGAAAGTGTGAGAAAGAAAAAACAAAGAAATTTATTACAATTAATAATTCGTCTTCGCACGTCTTTGAAAGAAGTATATCGTTACGAGCAATCAAAGAAATCAACAGCGCGGGACCCGAGTTCCAGAACAATTCTTGATATACCAGCGCCATCTATAAAAGAATACGCCGATCATGCTCTTGACATTTTATCTCATGTCACTGGCCAAAAAACTGATTTAGCCACAGCATCAAACTATCGTTTTATGCAACCTCTTGATGACTGTGAAAAACTCTTGCGTTTTTGTTCTTCCTACAATAATTGTACTTATGAGTTGAACAGGTGGAATGAAAATTTTTTCTTGAAAACCTTGATTCCAAGACTCTGTCGCGAAGCTGCTTCAATCGATCAACAATATCAACCTTGTTTCACTGTACGTAAAGCCCTTGCGCAAGGATGGGCGACACAACGTGTTTTCAAATGCAGACTATGTTCAAATAGGAAGCAATTTGATTACGCGGCCATTAAGCAACACTTGCAAAGTCTACGACATAATTTACAAACTTTTGAGGACGATAAAATGATGAAATTACATTTAATGCATGGTATAATGTCCGATGGCCCTAGTAGCTTCTGGTTGGCTCATTTACCAATACCAAATATCGTCGATTCGAAAGATGTTATTGTCAAAGTACGAATCTCTGGTCTTTGCCCCACCGATACTCAAAGTAGGTTTCATTGTGTTTGTTAATTATACATTTTAATATAGTTTTAAGATACTTCGACTAATAATAATTTTATGTCTGTTAAAGCATCTAAATCGATAGTCGGTGATCTCGACAAACGTACTGTAATGGGACATCAATTTGTTGCGGAAATTTACGATACCGGCTCTTCTATTAAAAATTTCACTAAAGGAGACTTAGTCATGTGTCCCCCAAAGACATCTTGCGGCGAGGTAAGGAGTTCATTATTAATTAGAATCCAAAAAAACTATTTTTAACCTCGAGTGAATATGTTTTATTAGTGTTTCTATTGCAAACGAGAGATGACTTTTCACTGCGAAAAAGGACAACTCTTTGGTTGGTCCTCTAATGGAAAGCGATTTGATGGTGGACAAGCAGAATACGTTCGCGTACCCTACGCCGAAACATCACTATTCAAAGTCCCAGAAGGCGTAAGTGAGAAAGAAGCTCTTCTATTAGCAGATTTCATCCCGGTTGGATTCTATTGTGCCGAAAATGCGATGAATCAATTATCGGAAGAAGAAAAAGCAAAAAGCGTGATAGTTGTAGTTGGCTGTTCTGCTGTCGGACTTGCCGCTATTGCATCGTCTTTCTATTTGGGTGCCAAAAGAGTATTTGCAATCGATCGAACATTTGAAAGATTACAGGTTGCACATGCCTTTGGTGCTACTATAATAGAGGCAGCTACCGAAGACCCAATAGCTCTAATAAGAAGAGCTACTGGTGGAAGAGGTGCAGATGTTGCTCTAGTATGTATCAATTAATATATCTATAGTCCAATGATATTTTTTTTAACTAATGTCCCGTACCATAATTTAATTTGTTATTCAAATGTAATAGGTTGCAGACTTTGAAACGGACATCGATCTCTCTCTAAAACTTTTAAGACCTGCTGGCATTTTATCAATCGCCACCATGAATTGTCAACCTCCAATGGACATGACATACTCGGAACAGGATGTGGTCGTCATATCAAAACATTGTCCGATACGTAAAGTAATCCCAAAAACTATTCCTATGGTTAAATCGAAAAAGTTTGACTTTGAAAGCATCATCACACACATGCTTCCATTACGTGATGCTGAAGAAGCATACAAATTGGTTGGCGGTAATCCGGATTGCTTGATGGTTGGATTTCTTGTGGCCGATCAATATCCAGAATTAATAATATGACGCAATAATAAAAATCTAAATAATAACAATAACGATAATGATAATAAATGATAAATATTTTAAAGGTTATGTAAATCATTTACTTTTATATTCGTATTAGAATGATTCTTCGGCAATCTAAATAGATCTGAATTAGGCGTTGATTAATTCCCCTTGATCATTTCAGATATATTTATTGGAAGCTTATCGTTATGCATGCGGGGGATACATCCAAACATCTTTCTATGCTATGGCAAATAGATGACATCACATAGTTAAAACAATTCTTTTTTACCTATCATTATTTTATTTTTTTGTAAATACAAAGTTCCTAGTTATCCAACTATCTATAAATGATAAATAATAAATATTTGGGAGTTACACTTGCAGCCATTAAATTCTTTATCTGGGTTTTTACTAAACAAGTTACTTTATTGTTCGCCAATTCTCGCTTACCCGATCTTGGTTTGGTTTTTCTTTTTTTTTTACAGTACGTGCAACAAAACTTGCACACAGTGTTAAATAAATATTACTGTCCGTTTGAGAAAATCTAAAAACTTTCCTTTGAAGTGCGACGGCTAACTACCATTGACTATATTTAGTAGTGTATTGTTGGTAAATATAAACCAACCTTATTATTATTGCTATTATACTTTTTATTATTCTATCAACCACAACAAGGTTTGTACGTCCAAATCCAAGGCTGTTTTCACGCACCTTCTTTTGGCTTCTTCCTTTCAATCTATCAAAAAAGAATCCGAAAGGTGGTTTGGGAACAGAATTTGGCCAATTCAGGATCCGTATTATATAGTAACAAGTCGCTAAATATGTTTATTCTCATTTGTAATCAGTAAAGATGTCTTCTCAAGAGGAACCTTCACCAAAAATCTTAGCAAAATCTCTACCAGAGTCTATACAATTCCTAGCGCAGAAACCGGATTCTGCTTCTTCCTCGTCACTTTCGTTATCACTTTCCGGATCCTCCACAGAGTCTCTCGCCTCTTCTGTACCATCTGCCTCCTCATCACCCGTCAACTCACCGACCATAAGTAGTTTCGACCACCAAATCATCCAACAGCCAGTTGATGACACGGTGACGATGATAAATCATCAATTGCCGAAACTCACACCTTCTACAATACCATCAGAATTGATTCTTCACATCTTCAAGTACATCACATCTACATCTGATCTCATGTCGTGTATCTTTGTGTGCAAATCATGGTGTAGTTGTGCCGTAGAGATATTATGGCATAAACCAATGTTTACCATGAGCACGTTGATCAAATTGCTTCACACGATATCTCGTCAACCGCAAACTTTCCCGTATGCGCTGCTTATTCGAAGACTCAATTTTTCTTTAATAAGTGAAAATGTCAGTGATGCGATTCTGAATTTTTTGAATGGTTGTGAACGATTAGAAAGGCTTACGCTTGGTGGATGTAGGCAATTGACGGATATCGGGCTTACCAGATTGATAAATAAAACTGAGGGACTGGTTGCTTTAGATGTTTCGGATATTGAGAATTTGACCGATGCTGTTATCGAGTTAGTGGGGCAAAGATGTCGTCGATTGCAAGGACTGAATGTCAGTCTTTGCAAAAAGATAACGGATAAGGGTGTTATAGCTGTGGCTTCACGATGTCGAAACTTAAGAAGGGTATTTTCTTTTTTCTTTAATCGACTATCCAATTCATCACTTACAACTAATGATTATATGGAATGATGTAATCTAATTGACTTATTTTCATTCTGCTCATTTATAGATCAAGTTAAGCGGATGTGAAAATATTACCGACAATTCTATTGTCGTTCTCGCTGAAAACTGTCCTCATTTACTAGAACTTGATCTTACCAATTGTAATCAGATCACCAATAATGCTATCCAACCAGTACTTGAGAGATGCACCCAATTACGAGAACTCCGACTTAACACTTGCACCAACTTGACTGACGAGGCATTCACCAGAAGCATGCCTGCCTTCTTTGAACAATTGCGAATTCTCGACTTGACTTCTTGTGCACTAATTACTGATCAGACTCTCTTGAAAATTGTGTATAGTGCACCTAAACTACGTAACCTGGGATTGGCGAAATGTGTCAATATCACGGATGAAGGTGTAAATCACATTACTCGATTGGGTAAACACTTGCATTATCTTCATCTTGGACATTGCTCCCGTATTACGGATCATTCCATCACAAATTTGGCTCGCCATTGCACACGTTTACGTTATCTTGACTTGGCTTGTTGCGTTCAGCTCACTGATGCTTCTGTTCATGAACTATCTCATCTACCAAAACTAAAGAGAATTGGATTGGTTAAATGTGCCAATATTACCGATTCAGCAATATATGCATTAATTGATCATCGTGTGGTTGCTCATACACTTGAACGTGTACATCTTTCCTATTGCATCAATCTCACTATAACTGCAGTGCTTGAACTAGTGAATTGTTGCTACCGGTTAACACACCTTTCACTCACCGGTGTTCCCGCCTTTTTACGATCAGATTTACAAAGATTATGTCGGCCACCACCGAAAGAATTCACTCAACATCAACGTCAAGTGTTTTGCGTCTTTAGCGGGAAAGGTGTTAAAGAATTACGACAATACTTGAATAGCCTGGTCATCGGTTCAGTTCGACCTCGTATAGCTGATGGTGGCCCCGATGGTACTGATAATGAGCTTATTATCACAAATGTGGGTGAAAGTGATGATTTAGGGTTGGACGACTTGGATGCCGAAGGAACTGGTTCTGGCGGCGAAGGAGATGGTGGTGACCGAGATGATGGAGACGGTAATCGTAACAATCTTGCAGCTGGTAGTGCAAATGCAAACGTCGTTGACGACGATGGAGCAAATTCTGCTATGTATGATTTACTCGGACTATAAGCTTACAATAAAATAACTTTTCAAAAATTCCCCTTTACTTCTTTATACATAATATTATTATTCCTGTTGTTTTTATCGCCTCTTATATACTATTAATTAAAATCCCTGTACTTTTTACCGTCTTGATATTATTATACATAGATAAATCCTTTTCATTATTATATAGCATTCACAATTGTTTTTAAGAGTATGCGAGTTGTGTGGGGCCTATGGTGTCATTCAAAATCGGCTTTATATTATTAGTATCATATATATATACATATACTTTGAAATTTTTATTTATGATAGAGCATCATCTTTCGTTTGCAAAATGAGCGAACAATTTATATATACAATATTTTACATATACTAAATTCTATTTTTATTCCGACTTTTTTTTGTAAATCTTTTTCTTCTTTTTCGACAATAGATAACAATTACAACAGTTAAATAGCTTCAACACCCAAACACACGTTTAGAATTTTTCCTATATAAAGTAATCAATTAATCTCATTCTCCGATTCCCCTCCCACAAAATTTCAAAATTACCGTAATTATAATACTCGATCAATACCTAATATCGATTTTTTAGTATATAACTACACTTTATTAGGAAACAATAATAAATATATATACACATCATTCATTATAGAGTTTTTTTTATTGTTGTAGAGTTCAGTCACACCTGCCAGTTTTTGACAGAACAAATTCTTTATAATTATTTTACCCAAGTTATATCTCTCTTTATCTTAAACGTTTGGTCGTCGAAATCATGAAGTATATCTTCGCCGAATTCCGATGTCGATTTCGAGAATATTCTGGCATCTAAATTCACAAATACAGTCGACACTGGATATAACGAACCTCTTTATAACGAACTCTTGATATAACGAACTAAAAAATTTTTAAATTTTACATTAGTTCGTTATACAAGCATAGAGGGCTTATAGTAACGAACTTTTTTTAGAGTTCGTTATAGTATTTCGACGCCGAATTCGCGAAGGTTTGTGAGCAGGAATTACGATTAATTCTGGCCTTATTCTGACCAAAATTAATCGTAATTTTGATCACATGATTTATAACTAGTGTGGGACAATTACAGATGCACAATTATTGCGAATCACATGAAAGCTGAATGATATCACGTTCGTCATTATTTTCAATAATTAATTCACAACGGCGTTTCATTGATTCTACAGTCTTCCTCCCATACAGTCACCTCCTCTCTACAATCACACCTTTTCCTAATTCCAGATATTATAAAGCATAGGAAATTTGACTTCTATATAGTCACAACCTCTCCTCTTTAAAGTCACACTTTTGCTGTTCCCAAGGGCGTGATTATATGGGAGGAAGACTCAGGGCGGAAAAATTCCGAAACCGAATGTTTTTAATTAATTCTATTATAATACATAATTGTAAGTGCGCAAAGAGATTCTTAACTAAGAGATTTTGTTATAAGCACTAAAACTACGTTCTACACTACATGATGAAATTGGTAACCAAATATTTTTAATTGCTATTTCACTAAGAAGGGGTAATTGATATGAAATTTTGTTTTAAATCATCAAATTCGATTTCATTTAAATTGATATTGCTTATTTTTAACGTTTTTTTGTGTTGTTCGTACATGATTTTCTTTTATTTTTTATGACTTGTTGCATTAATAGTTATTTATGTTCCCATTTAACTGAATGACTACAAAACAACATAATAAAATTCCATATCATAACGAAAATCTTCAGAAACTCTTGTGTACGAGTATATGCGGTTACCGTTTTTGCTCAGGCGGCAACCGATTTTTTGTAATACATATTATAACTTTCTATAAAAATTCCCTTTTATACCGATTGATTTTATTCCGGTTTGTCTCAAAATTCCCGTTTTATGAATTTCTCCGTGTCCCTGGGAAGACTGTACAAGACTAATTACAACGGCCTGTGGAATTTTTGCCATTCTTCCATATAACGTTCAAGATCATTTAGATTTTTTGGTATTCTCTAACATTACTTTTAACGATTTTCGATTGGATTAGGTCCGGGCTATTCGATGGCCACTCCAAAACTTCTTGAATAAAAGGTTTTGCAAGACAACTCGTATGCTTGGGGACATTGTCCTGATGAAAACGTCATTTTACAACAAAACGTATGAGCGAAGTATTTCCACATAAAACTCGGCAGTTTTTTTTCCCTTTGCGCAAAAACCACCTCACGTCATTATTTTGGTTCTGTCTTTAGGTATTAGGCGCACCGGTCATTCACCATTATACCATAAACAAAGAGTGCCTATAAATAAAAAAGCTGTAGCCAAAATGTAATGTTTATTTTGTATTATGATAATATAAATTTGGATTCATTTTTGTCCCACATTGTTCGTAAATTATAAATTCAACGAATTTTTGCTTTCTTTATCGTATTTCTGACGTGTAAAATATTTATACAGTTTACGGAAAGTCCAATTATACGACACAATATTCTGCTTCATATTTAATTGAAAAAATTTCAGCTACAACCCATCCCGATATTATCTGCAAACACACAAAGATAAATCAATGAATAGCAATTACATGACACGATATACTGCTTCATATTTAATTGAAAAACTTCAGCTACAACCTCATCCCGAAGGAGGATATTACCTGCAAATTTATCAAGATAAATCGATTATTAAACAATCTGGTTTACCAGATAAATTTGATGGAGACAGAAGTTGCTTAACCTCAATATACTATTTACTTGAAGGGAAAGATTTTTCGGCTTTTCACCGAATTAAGTCTGACGAAGTTTGGCATTATTATACTGGTAGCACCGGCGTTAAAATTTATGAAATAAAGACTGATGGAGAACTTATTGTTCACCAACTAGGTCAAATTTTAGACAAAGGAGAGAAGTTTGTTTCCGCTATTGAAAAAAGTTCATGGTGCAGTGCTGAACTTAGCAATCCGAGTGCTGGTTTTGCTTTAGTTGGCTGTACAGTAGCTCCGGGTTTTGAATATCAAGATTTAGAGATAGCTACTTTTAAAAATCTTTCCGAGCAGTTTCCTCAACACACAGAAATTATCAAAAAACTAACTCGCAACTAATCTTGCTGTTTAATAGTGTAGTTGATAGTTGAGTTGCCAATTGAACAATAATTGATAACTATTCGATTATACAATTGCAATTAATAATTGTCTTAATAATTACAAAAGACAATTTTATTTTTACGAATCGTAAAGTTTTCAATAGTTTAAATATATATATAATGATAAAATTCAATTTTTTTTCTAAATGTCTAAAATTAAACGACCTTTAAAACGACTTCGAACTTCCAATTCAAATAATAATGAACCTAATATTGAACAACTTCGAGCTTCTAATACAAAGCAAACCAGTTTCGCCTGGGAATTTTTTAATTGTCCTTTAGTTCCAGGAAATGATGGTGAACCTACTATTAAACGCGTAAAATGCCGATTTAATGGATGTACAACCAATTACGCCTGGCTTGGTTCAACAAGTAATATGATAGGACATATTCACTATATAACAAAAACAAGTTTAAATATGCAAACAGCAGAAGAAATTCTTAATAATCCCCAAGCATTTATTATAGAAAGCTCATTTAAACCACATGATCAAGAATATCAGCATTACGGACATTAGAATTGCTTTATAATCGGTTTTGTTGATCCCATCTTATGACTAATGAAAAATGCAAATCATAATCATATGCGTACAACACAACAAACGTTATTTCAATTTAAATGAAATCGAATTTGATAATTTAGATGATTTTTGGATGGTGTCAGGCAAATCTTAGTCAAGAATCTCTTAATCTCTTCGTGCACTTATAATTATGTATTATAATTAATAAGCTTCAATTTCGAAATAAAACGGAATTTTTCCGAGTCCTCAGTCCCCATATCACATGGTTTCTACAATTAAACGATCATCAATTGATGCAAGCTCTTCCAAATGACTACTTCGATAAAGATGATTGGTTTGAAACAACTATGGCAATTTGTTTTTTTTTATGATTTTGTTACCACCAATGAAGATAATGACAAAAGAATACCAGTTTGGGATTGAAAACCACGTCAGGCAATATGCTCTGAGGTGGGAATGATGTTATAATTGACATTGAATACTCAGAATCTCATTCGCATTTTTGTATCACATTTTTTTATATCTCGCTATTTTCAAAAATAATAAAAACCACGTGCTTTATCTAGGGTTATATTAATAAAATTATATTACCTAATATTTGTCAGCCAGTGATTTATTGCCCGTTTTTCGCTTATTTATAGTGACTGGCTATGATAATAAAACAAGCGCATAAAGTCAAACGCATAACGATAATAAAATAAACGCATAAAATTAGCGCGTAATGATAATAAACAATAAAAATCAGCGTGTGCAAATACGTGACAATGACGCGCTGTTTTTTGTTTATTATCGTTATTGATGACTCATGATGACATTTATTGTTTATGATGGATTTTGTATATATAGGACAGGCATTCGTATTCTTTGTGTTCTCTCTAGTACCCCTAGACACGACATAAAAAAAGTTACTGTTACCTGCCTGACAAGACATTTTTTGGATTTTTTTTCGTATTTTTTTTATTACGCTTGCGCTTACGTTTTCTCGTCGCTTTCATTTTCTTGTGCGCTTGCGTTTTTTTGTCTTTTTCATTTCTTGTGCCGGATTTGTTTTTGTCAACATGTGGCAATAACTTTTTTTACGCCGTGGCTAAGGGTACTACTTCCCCTTTCGTTTTTGCTTTTTATCGCTTTTTTATAGTTATAGTCTTCTTGCTTGTTATTTATGTTGGTGCGCAAA